AACTCTGAAAAAGGAAGTGGTTATAATTCTGACATACTTTCTCCAAACATGGTCAGAGTATGCTTCACACCTAGATGATGCTTTCCTGTTAACATTGTTACTTTAGGTAAACAGTGTGGACTCTAGGGTACTTACAAGTTTGATACATGGTGTCCTGTGATTCTGGCAGGGATTACGCTGAAATATGTGTATTCATTGCATGGTCTCTGCCTCCACCTGGTGGATGAGTTTGACACTGCAAGCAAAAATCCAATATCTTCAGTGGCTTTAACTCTATAATTGTCCAATCTTCCCCAAATTTCACGATTGATGACAGCCTCACACTGTAGACATCTGCATAGCAATATCAATATTCACAGGGCCACGTACTGGAAACAGGAATTAACTCTTGTGTGACAATCATGTCATTTACATGATATTTTCAGTGCAAGCTCTGACACAGAGCCTCGTGTGTGCCCATTGCGTGGATACTGCCTCCACTTAGTACACACAATTAAGCATGCATAAAAAATGCTTTAAATTTGACATGTTTGTGGTTCAAACAACAAATTGACAGGCTAATTGATTCTAAGGAGTTAAATTCCTCTTCATGTATTTATATTAAAATGAAGTCATGTAATGTCTCCTGTTAATTTCAACACGCCATGTCACATTCCTTTCATTGCTTAATTTAAGTTCTACGTGTGTTTAGATATGTTTCCTTTTTCTGAAAACTGCAATTTTTCTGCTGCAACACAACCCATGCGGATGAATATAGTTTGATCTAGCATACTCATTCTGAAGTGATACTTCTCTATCAGCCACTGGTTGCATGGAGTTCACTGACAATTAGGCATGTAACTGTGACTTCTGATCAACGTCAATAACCTACTGCTTTTCAGCAAGGCACAGTGTGATGTTTGTGACTCTGATATTAAATACTTTCAACAATAGCTCTATTGTGGACTCTGAAATGATACGCACCTCACATTTAATTATAGGGGAAACAAGGATACATGTAGTCCAGCTATTACAATCATAATCATCATCACCACAGAATTCTAAAGATTTTTTTCCACATGTGGCACTAATCCTCTTCTGTACAGGAGAGATCCACAAGACTGTCTTGCTCTTTTGCACTCTGCGCTGCAAGGGCTTTGTCAGTGTCTGGCGAATGGGTTTTCCATCCTAGATGGGCAGTACAGTTGGCGCAGCTGGGTCTTTGAACCTTGCAGGTTCTCTTTGATAGCTTTGGTAACTTTATTCTGGACATCTAACATGTTCACTGCTGTTCCCTGGAGGCCGAGGTTAAGTCTATATTAGTGGCTGAAAATGCCAGGTAACTCATTGTAGCCAACCACTCAAAATCACTGAAGCAATGTGCCAGTTCAAACTTTGTGTCCGAAAAAAAACACCCGCATCTCATCACCTCATCAAAAAGTCAACTTTGTCTTTTTTTTTTTGCGATCAAATTTTTATTCTCATTTCCATCAAGTCCAACAGAAATATTTCAGGGGATACAATATTCTTAGAATGGATTCTCAAAGAAGGACAGTTGGCCCAAGACATAAGAACGTGTCATGGGAAAGAACACAGTGAGAGTATTGACGATAATAATAATAATAATAATAATAATAATAATGATAAAATAATATAAATAATAATAATAATAATAAATAAAATAAATAAATAAAAATAATAAATACATACATAAATAAATTAAATAAATAATAAGATATAAGAGGAAAAATAAAATTACATACATAACCTACACAAATACATACATACACACAAACATATATTGACAAGACAGAAGGGACTTGACATCTAGAAGCACTAAATGAGAGGTGAGAGAGCCAGTGGGAAAATCAACTTACAGCATGTTTTTTAAAGAGTCAGCGGTGCTACGCCAGGTATCAAGGGTGCTATCATTAGCACCATTAATCCGAGCTGTTGAAAGCTCCATGAATATGACGTCCAAAAGAGAGAGAATCCAAGACTGAGTAGTCAGAGAATGAGGTGTCTTCCAAAGAGTTGCAATCATTTTCTTGGCTGCTGTCAGTCCAGCAAAGATGACTCGCTTTTTGAGTTTAGAAATATTGAGGATTGACAGATTATTTAGAATCAACACACATATAGTTACAGGCACTGTATCATCTATCAAATCAGACAATTTGGATGCAACATTGCCCCAAAAGTGTCTGACAGGAGGACAGTCCCAGAACATGTGAATACATGTGCCCTGGGCTTTCAATGAGCACAGATTACAACATGGATCATTAATAATTTTCATGTGATGGAGTTTAACAGGAGTGAGGTATGTTCTGTGTAAGATTAAAGTGAATATGCTGATGATCTGGATTACGAGATGCCTCATGAATGTTGGACCACACCGCGTCCCAATCAAAATCCTGAGCTAAGTCTGGGCAGTCTCTCCTCCAGATCCCACAGGGAGTGAAGCAAGGTCTGTTACCTGCAAAAAATTGTACAGTTTGGATACCACACCCTTAGCTCTGTTTCGTTTAGTGAATAAATCTCGGAGTGGGTGGGTAGGTAAAGGACATTGCCAGGGCACGCCATATGCTCTAAGCGCTGACCTTAGCTGTAAATAAAAGAAAAAGGTGGAACCTGGCAGACCGAATGCATCCTTAATATCAGCAAAAGAGAGTAATCCAAAATCATTATAAATGTCTTTTAAATAGTGAACACCCCTCTGCTCCCACTGGGGAGCAACTTTTTCTTTTTTGTTTGAAGGGAGTGAGGTCACTAGTCGATTCACCGTCTATCTCTTAACTCTCTTTCCATTTAATTCTTGCTGTTGCAACAGCTACCCATTTTGATTCTCCAGTTTTTGCCATGGATGTGATCTGTTAGCGAGCAACCAGACTGAGATAGCAAACAAAATTGCAAGTTCCTATCATTGGCTTATCACTTATCACTGAGAAAAACAAAACAAAACAGAAATTACCCAAAACAAAACAAATCAATGAAAGGAGTTTTTTTTTTAAATGTTTTTAAAGATCATTCTGTTTTAAAACATTTAAAAACAGTTTTTATATTTTCATTTGTTTATAATCATACTTTTCACCAGAACTGTACTGTTTTGTAAATGACTTTGCAGCCCACCAGAGGGCCACGGCAGAAAGGTTGGGAATCAATGTTGCTGCATTCACTTGCACTCGGACATTAGAGTTTCACTCTTGTAAATGTCCAACTGGCCACAACTTTTTATTCATAGACTTTTGAATTAGATTGTCCAAATCTGGGGTGGCAGCTGGGGTGGCAAGGCATTTTTTAGGGGTGGCAGCTGCCACCCTATGCCACCCTGGTAGATCCTCCACTGAACAGAAGAAACATATGAAAAGAAAATGAAAAGAAGGGGCGATATTACTTAATAGAGCAGTGTAAAGAAAGAACATTATTATCTAGACAAAGAGAGAAGACAAACTGTAGTTATGACTGAGACTGGAGCACTGTGGGCTGGTATGAGGATCGGATGTGTGGAACGTGCAACATGGAACAAACTGTGAAACACCTACTCATGTTAGTGCACTATGATGAAAGAAAAGAACTGATACTCTCGTGTGATGCCTCCCCATATGGAGTGGGAGCAGTAATAGCTCATCATATGTCCGATGAAGAGGAGAAACCCATAAACCCATGAGATGAAAGCTGTACCACCGATGGCATCACAGAGGATAATGAGGTGGGCTATACTGTTAAGAGCAAATGACTGTTATCATGTACAGAGCAGGTAAAGACAATGGTAATGCTGATGCTCTTAGCTGCCTCCCACTTCCAGGGACACCTATTGTTCCATCACCAGAGGAGCATGTGTTAATGTTAGACCAGGAACAGAGACCATTAATTACATCATAACATCATAACTAAAGATCCCATACTCTCCAGAGTATGTCATGAGAGGATGGCCAAATAACCAGGACAGTGACTTTATGTCTTATAGACAAAGACAATATGAATCTGAGTGTCCAGGATGGCTTTGTGCTCTGGGGAGCCCACATAGTAGTACAAGAACAAGGTAAAGTCATGCACCACATGCCAAGAACACAGAAAGGCACCTGCGTGTGCACCACTGCACCCGTGGGAATGGCCAGAGAAGCCGTGGAAAAGACTCCCCATTGATCATGCAGGTCCTTTTATGGGTAAAATGTTCTTAGTGATTGTGGATGCACACGCAAAGTGATGAGATGTATACCCGGTGACCTCAGCTACATTAGCAGCCACAATAAACTGTCTAAGAAATAGTTCCAGTACACATGGTATCCCGGAGATGATTATGTCTGACAATGCACATTATTTTGTCAGTGAAAAAATCAAAGAGTTCATGACACGAAATGGAATCACACATCACACAAAAAAAGCAGCGGTGATACAGTGGAAACAAAGTTAAACAGGGCTTTGTTTAGCTATAGCATCACTCCACAGTCAACAACTGGACTGTCACCTCTTGAGACAATGATGGGTAGGAAGTTGAGGTGTATACTGGATCTCATACACCCAGACTTAAAAAAGAAAGTGGAATCAAGACAAGCAAGTCAAAAAGCGTACCATGACAACATTTAGGAGTTTCTCCTAAATCAGCAAGGTAGGAGCTACTTTTAGCCTTAATATGCTTTATGAATACAGGCCCTGAACTTTTACTTGAACTCTTGGCAGGTGAACCATAACATACATGACTCCCAATTGGAAGTCCCGTCCCTCGTGACATCCTTCACAGGTTAAATGCAAACTGATTATATTACACCACAGTAGCAACCCTAACCCTAAAGACTGTTATAATGAGGAGCTGAGTCCCACTGAGAGTCAATAGTTGTGAAGGCAGTATTTGAAGTCATCACTGCAACAGGATTAGAAATTCATTCCGATCTGCAATCTAATCACAACCTGTGAGAGGCAGCAATGTGCCGCGAGGCATCTAAGCCCCCGGAAACCGTCAAGACAGAAGAAGAAGAAGAAGGGAAAAAAAAAAAAAAAAAAAAAAAAAAGAACAAGAACAAGAACAAGAGCAAGAAAGAACGGCGGTGAACCGGATGTAAACTGAGACAGCTGACTAATATCCTGACCATTTGGTTTCCACACTTTCTCCTACATTGACGGATACACCGTTAAACCCTGACCGGACCAACTGTTAAACCCAGTGTTGTTGTTCGTCGGGACGGGACGGACCAACATGGCGGCGGTGAGAACTTTCTCCGGGCAGACAGAGCTGATAATGGAGGCGGCGGTGGAGGCTGTGGTCTCCGTATGGCAGCAGAGACTTGGACAACGCGGGACCGACGGCGAAAACACCCGGGTGAGGATGGATGGTAAAACGAAATAGCCAGTTTAGAGGAGACGGGGGTAGGTCATCTGAGAGTGCTCGAACTTCGGAGGAAAATCCGCCGTCACTTCCTCCTTTGGTTGTAACGGTTACAACTGCAAACATCGCGTTAATGTGTCATTTAGCGTGGAAATTACCTTACGGTGTGAACTTAAGTACAGTAAAACTGAACAGACAACATAACTTTGCTGTTCACAACTTTGTACCTAATGAACCTTATACAAAGTGTCGGTTGCCATCTTGTGTCAGACAACATCAAACAAGTTTTTTTAAAACAAAATTAACAAAAGTGAAGGAGGCTTTGTAATGTGGAAACTTACTGAATAGAAACACGTGGAGCTGATTATTATTAACAATCAACATCACATTAATACTAAGAAAGTGTCAGAAAGAAATTGAGGATAAGCGAATGATACGATTTCTGGTCTTTGATCTTCAGAACAAAAGACCTGAGGCGTTAGACAGGTTGTAGTTAAATAACTAGAAAATTCCTGAAGACATATTGATTGTGCCTGTGTGTATTGGTCTTTGTGGCAGTAGAGCTGTCTAACATAGAGTCTCCAAATAGCTGTTGCCAAGTTGAGACACTTACAGTTAATATCCATAAGGTGGTGATAGTGTTTTTGTGTCTGTCAATGTATATGTGTGGGTGTTGTTAGGTACTGCCAAATCTTGACCTTCCAACAGCCCTTTAAAGTTGGCAGGACCCATCAAAATGACCTCACTATAACGGTTTTTAACCAAATTTGTCCTCACAATTATAAACGCAAAGAACCACACATCAACATGCACACACAAGGAAAGGCAAATACACAGTGCTGATTTACCTTCGAGTTGCTGTCATACCTGAGTTATAAGGCAAAGAGTTAACAGGTCTACTTAGCAATGAAGGATCAAAAAACACGCTGATGTTAATTGGTAAATACTTTCACCTGTGGAGGTGGTGACAGTGCTAGAGACGATCCATCACTTAATCACAGTTTAATATTTATAAATTCTGATCTTAAAAGTGTTGCTACCATCACCTGTCAACAACAGCAGAAATGTAGGCCGCCAACATTTTTGACATTTTCAAGTGGGCCGTGAGTTAATTGTAGACTATGACCCCTTCTAACTTGATTGACTGATAGTTTCAGCTGTAGCTTGGTTCATGTTTGAGAGCAGGTCTAGATTAAAAAAATGGACCTTGGGGAGAATTTAAATAAGAACACATTTCGTTTGAAAAGGCCAAAACACACTGCTAATGAATGGCGCGAGTCATAACAGCTGCTCTTATTATTCTCTATGTGCGTCCTTGCAGCCAGCGGCCAGGCATGTGCTGGCATGCATCGATGTGGCTCCTGTTCTATCTCCAGCCTCGCCACCTCTGAAAAAGCACTTTTTTCCAGAGAAAAGGCTGTTTTGTCTTCCCAGCTCCCTTAGCAGCTTGACTTCCCTCTCCTCACCTCTCTATTGTTGTCTCTTGTGTGTGTACAATGGATGAGGAGAGTTTACTTGTTCCTATTCGACCTACAGTCGCATTATTACAAAGATAATGGCAATAAAAGGCACCTGACATGGCGCTGTGGCAGCACTGTGTTTTTCAGATTAACAGTTGATTGGTTGATACTATATCCAGAGATACAGAGGTAAAACACAGAACGGACTTTATTTTTAAACCTCATGTCTTGTCTCTTACAGATTCAGCTGACCGCCGTCCTTAACGTAATGTCCAAAGAGGCAGTTCGTAAAATCTGTGGAGTTTTCAGAGAGCTGTACATGAATTTAGAGAAGGAAACCGAAGCTCTGAAGGACGAAGTGAAACGGCTGGAGTCTGAAATGAAAAACCAGAACAACTCCAAGAAGAACCAAACTCAGACACATTATAAGATCAAGCCAGCAGGTCAGTGATCTAGACATCAGAGAGCCTGAACGTATCATAACATGAGGGGGAAGAATATTTCTGAAGCATCACTGTCAGAAATTTCCAAGGAAATATGAATGACTATTATATAACAGTATATAACACTTTAAACATTCATTAGTTAGATATTAAAATGTGCACCTTATTTTTAATATAAGGTAGATAGATAGATGAACACAACTATTAAGAAGATAGTATAAAAAAATCACAATTTGCGATATGCATAGATACACATTTAATATACATTTCTATTTGTATTATTATGCTCAGTTCAACATGAAATTCACTAAAAGTGAATTAAATCACATGTTAATAACCTAAGGCCAAAGGTTAACTTACTTTATTTCAGAGCTTTCAACTAACTGAACTTTATGAATTTATCCCCAGAATACAGACACAGTGAAAACAGATCTTATTACTTTTCAACAGCCCAGTGCAAACAAAACGTAAAACTCATAATTTTCCTTCACATCATCTTACATATTTATCATCTAACTTTTATTCTGAAATTGAATCTGACATAGTAATCATCTGACTTTTATTCTGAAATTGAATTTGACATATGCATTATCTGACTGTATTTCCTGATGAACTGAATCTTACAGGTGGCCCCGCTCTGTCACTGGACATCAAGCAGCAAGCTGCGAACCCTGCAGCTCTTGCCATGGCCATCCTAAACTCCACCAAACCCACACACAGCAGCAGCAGCCCTCAGGTCCCTTTGGTCATCATCAGCCAGCCGCTTCCCGGACCAATCGTAGGGCAGAGCCAGCCACTCCCTGGACCAATCGTAGGGCAGAGCCAGCCGCTTCCTGGACCTATTGCAGGGCAGAGCAGCACCTGCCCCCAGGTGCTGCAGGAGAAACCAGACCATCCCCCTGGTCAAGGTCTGGCTGACATTGAGACTGAGGTGGTTTTAGAATCGATTCAGATCTCCACAGACACTGATGGATCACCAGATTCGATCCAGTCCTCTTCACACATGACATCACTTCCTGTGGTTAATGATCAGCTAACCAGTGAGCTCACAGGTGTATCAGTGACATTCAGTGAGGACCTGCCCACACATGAAGAAGAACCAGCTGTGGATGTAAGTCAGATAATCAGTACTGATCAATATTGTTCAATACAATACAACAGTGTCACACTTATAAGATTTAAATATTCTTACACAGGTATAACTCATGAAGCTGCACCTGTTGGTTAATTACGTTATCATCATACTCAGCTTTATATTGAGTTTCAACCCCATCTGCTTTATTTTCTGTTCATGTGAGTTGCTCAGGTCCTCCAGGTTTACCTGTTGTCTCACCTGAGGCCTGTACTTCGAAGCAAGTTCAACATAACCAGGATAACTTTTACTTAACTGGCTTCACTGAACCCAGCATTGACTGTCCTGGATAACCTGTACTACTAAGTTGGTTATCACCTGGCTTCGTTAACCCTGGGTTTGCCTGTCCTGCTGCAAACTTGTTCATGTGACAGAGGAAGAGTTTTAATAATAAGCAACATCATCAGAACCATGAATTATTAATATGATATGAAAAGAAACGCTGATACCTGGCAGTAAATTAGCGGATACACAGCGGTTAAAGTGATATTCAAAAAATTGAAATGTGAACAATATGATCACATGAGTGGAATAAAAAGACACGTTAGGAATATTTTCCAATAATTAAAGTCAAACTGAGTATATACTGTAAATAAGTGCATGAATTATCATTAAGTTACTTCCTTAATTACTGAGTGAATATTTTCACTCTTTGTCTGATGATGAACAAACTATTATGAACATGTGAGGCAGGTAAAAACAATGCTAGCCTGTTTCTGCTGCCAAAGCAGAGAGGAGAAAAGAAAAGTCTGAAGTACATCTGACTGAAATGTTCATTTATAATCATGGAGATGTTGAACTTGCTTCGTAGTACATGCCTCTGTACTACGAAGCAAGATCAACATACCCAGGATACCTTTTAGTTATGTGACTTAAGTGAACCTAACATTGACCGTCCTGACAACCTGTACTACGAAGCCGGTTATCAACTGGCTATTTAACCCTGGGTTTACCTGTCCAGTTACGAGCGCGTTCCTGTGAAAGAGGCGGAGTTGTTAATTATAAGCAGCATCGTCACAACCATATATTGAGTACTCAATATCATATTAGAAAAAACACTGATACGAGGGTAAGTTCAGTTATAACCACATCAAAAAGTTATAGTCAACAAGGTTAAATGTATTATCACATAACTAGGATAAAGGAAATATTTGTAAATATGACTATTAAAGTCAGATTAAGGATATATTGTAAATAGGTGGATGAATTATTAAATTCCTTACTCAGTATTTTCTCTTCGGTCTGATGATGAACAAACTATTATGAACATGAGCTGCAGATAAAACAGTTAAAGTTAATGTCAGGCTGTTTCTGCTGCAGAGAGGAGAGAAAGAAAAGAGGAGAGGAGTAGCTGATGTCTGATGAGTCAGTCTGGCTGAAATGTTTAAAAATTATAAATCAAATTTAAAATCATGGGAAATATTCAACAGGGTGCGGATCATTGTTCTAATCAGACATCAGAAGTTTAGTTTTTATTTCCACCTATCGTCAGAGTCTTCTCATGTTATTCTGTTATTCTGCATCAATACAGTCAGGAATCCTGTCGGATTGAAGAATATTTTACAATTAAAATGAAGCTATAATAGTTATTGTATATTTATTTAGAGTGATAAACTCTCCTCCGTTTGTTAGAAGCTGGAACAGCAAAACGATTCCACTGATTTATATAAATATCTACTGCTTGTTATTATTTATCACTTTATTATAAACTCTTTTGTCCCTGTCAGGATCCTGTAGGATTGTAGGCTCAGTTTTTCCAGCTATCTGATTGGTCAGTAGTTTGGCTGTTGACAGGTTTTGATCTGATCCTCTAAGTTAACCTGTGTCAGAGCAGGTTAGGAGTTCAGCGTAAGTTACCATGGTGATTTACTCTGGTAACAAGTGAACCCCCATCATAGGACTGAAAATCCAGAGTTAAACCTGAAGTGACCTTAATAACCTCAAATCCTTCTTTGTAGTACAGAAGAGGGGACAAAAGAGTTTACAATAAAGGGATCAATAATAAAAAGCAGTAGATATAAAATGTAAGAAATCAGTGGAATAGTTTTCCTGTATGAGGTTTCCATGTGTCCACTCTGGTTTTAAAACAAAGCTTCTAAAAAAAATGCTCGGAGTGTTTATCATGCTAAATAAATAGCTTATATAATTACTATTATAGCTTCATTTTAATTGAACAGATATTCTTTAATCCGACAGGATTCCTGACAGTGATGAAGCTTTTACTCTCTTCTTCATAATAACATGAGGAGACTCTGTGACCACAACTGGAAATAAAAACCAAACCTCTGATGTCTTTGATTAGAACAGTGAGCCACACACTGTTAATTATTTCCATGATTATAAATGAACATTTCAGACGGGCTGACTCATCAGACATCAACTAGTCCTCTCCTCTTTTCTTTCTCTCCTCTCTGCAGCAGAAAGTCTGACATTAACTTTAAATGTTCTCTCTGCTTCACATGTTCATAACAGTTTGTTCATCATCAGACAAAAGAGCGAAAATACTCAAACGTAATGATAATTCTTGCACTTATGTACAATATATTTTTACTCTGACTTTAAGAGTCATTATATTTAGATGTAGAAATATTTTTTTTATTACAGTCATTTAATTATATGGTTCACATTTCAGCTTGTTGATTATCACTTTTGGACGTTGCTATAACCAAATTTACCGGCAAGTATTAGCATGTCTTCTCAGACATATTAAGAACTTCATTCATGGTTCAGACAATGTTGCTTATAATTAACAACTGACTCTTTCACATGAACGCGCTCGTAACTGGACAGGTAAACCCAGGGTTAACTGAGCCAGCTGATAACCAGCTTCGTAGTACAGGTTGTCCAAGACAGCCAATGTTAGGTTCAGTTAACCCAGATAACTAAAAGTTATCCTGGATATGTTGAACTTGCTTCGTAGTACAGGCCTCTGTTGCTGTTGTCTCACTTGTTGCTTTTGTCTCACCTGTTGTCGTTGTCTCACCTGTTGCTGTTGTCTCACCATCCAGACAAGACTGGCAAGTAAACAAACAAACAAATAGTGTGAACAGGGCGCTGCAGTTCTGGATAACAAGCATGTTTACATTTCTGAACCGATTTCATTTAGTTCTTTTTATATTAATTAATTAATTAACGACAAATTCCTTATGGATTTGTCTTATCTTCCTTGGTAAACACTGGTGGAGGTGTCTTTAATGCGTGAAATGTGTAGGAAGTTTTTACAGTGTGGAAATGACGTCTTCTGTCTACATCCACATCATTTTATCTTTTCATGTGGTCCAGGTCAGAACAGCTTGTTCACTTTGAAATACTGAAAAATAATTAATCATCGTGGAGAAAATGGAACAAAATTGGCAAATACAAATGGAATGGTGAGATACTGGCAGTCATAGTGCTTTCTATATGTTTCCAGCAGATAACAGCTGCAAGATAAAATGAGACAGAGGGAAATTCAGCAGTAAAACATTTTTACCTGATATAGTAAAAAACTGTAAAAATATTCTGTAGCTCTATAGCTAAAGGGCTCTCCTGTTCCTCTTAAAAATATGTGATGAAAAGCAGTGTGTATTAATGCTAAAAACATTAATATATGATCATTATAGATACACGCGTCAGGTATCTTTCTTCCAGTCCAGTCTTTTGAGAGTTATGGGAAGTTCCAGTGCGATCCAGTAGCCAATGTCACGTCTGCTGAAAGGCCATTAGCTGTCCCTTTTCCTGGGATGCTCTTAATGTGAAAAATCAGCAGGAAGTGAGGGCTTGGATTCACATGGACCGAAAATCAAAATAATAGCATCTGTATGAGACTTTAATGTTATTTAAATACCAGCAAAGTTGTCACTGAGAGAGGGAATCAGGTGACCTGATTAATATAAGTATTGATCAATCTGCCTTGATTAAATGATGACTGGTTTAGTCTGTAAAATGTCAGAATAGTGAGAAATGCTGATCACAGTTCAAGGTGACACATTGAAATCACTTTAGTGACACCAGAGATTTTTTTTTTTTTAAATTCATTATTATAGTATTTATTTTTTGTCAATCAACAAATCATATCAGCCATAGTGACATTTAAATAATTTTGCATTTACTGATTCAACAGACTCATATATTCAAAGTTACTCACAGTGAGGGACATCACCAAAGCTTCAGAGCAGTAGAAACCTTGGTGTAAGTACTAAGTACTACATCTATTCAGTAAGTGAAGGAGATCAGGGAAAGAAGTGCAGTGAAAGTTCATAGTAAGAGCTAGTTAGACATGTTAGGGTGTCAGGAGAGGAGGTGCTTTGCTCTGATAAGAAGAACTAGACCTGCAGGTGTGAACAGACTCACAGCAGCTTGCAAGGATTTGGATGGCTAATGAAAGAATTTCTAAATTGTAGCCAAAGAAGAATGTCAGTTGTCTGGATTCTGACCCCATACCTTTGTATCCCAGAGAAGGAAACTTCCCGACGGCAACGCTCTGGGAAAAATGTAATCTTGATTATCATATATAAATACATGATATGATAAATAATAATGATCAGTCAATGTTGTTGAACCTCCTGTTGATTACCATTCAATAATCAATGGTTCATGCTCTGTCTTTGTTACTGCAACTGTAACAGATGTGTTTATAAAACAGGACTTGTGTTTGTGTGATTAGTGGTTAAGACCTGTAACAGTAGAGTCACTGCTGTTCTGTTTTCAGGAGTCAGAGATGAAGATGGAAACTGTTGAAGAGAAAGGTGAAAAGAGTCAACCAGGTGAGACAGGTAAGAGTCTGAGAGGACATCACATTTTACTGAGTGGGATTCAGAGGGTCTCAAAACTAGATGTATTTCTCTTCTAGGGCTGAACCCGACCAAAGATTTTTCTGGTCAACTGGTGGTCATTAGTTCAAGCTGTTAGTAGACTGGTCGTCGCACATTTATGATATTAATTGAATTAGTTAAACGTGAATTTGTGGGAGCATCAGAGAAGTGTTCAAGTCCAGGGCTGAGAAAATGTTATATGTAGCATGCTAACACTAAGCTACATTATAGAGAAATACAAAAACTTAATGATGAGCCTTTAAAATACATATTTTACAAGCTTGTGCCTGTAAACAACACAAGCAAAGCTGTAATGATTCTGAATGTGTCGCAGTAACCACCAGTCTGAAAGTGATGTGTTTCAAAATATCACACAAATATCAGACCTATGAACTTGTAACAAAAACCCTGTAGTGGGAGTGTGAGAGTGTGTGTGTCACCCTCACTCGTCGTTCTGTAGCCTCTCAGTTATCCACACTTTGGATTTCCTGCTGACATGTCATCACAATCTAATATCCACAGAGGCCAGCTGTGTAAACAATGTCTGTGACTGTGCAGTTTGATTTTTTTTTTTTTTTTTTTTTTTTTTTTTAACTGGGACCAACTGACCAATCAAAACTTGGTCAACTGAGACTCCTCAGTGGGTTTGAGAAAACCAGGTATATTTATAAAGAAACAAGTGAAATAAAACCTAACTGACTCTGAGAGTCTGACCTCCTCTGGAAGGTTGTTCCAAAGTTTACAGGCCCTGACAGCAAAAGCCCCGTCTCCTTTGGTTTTAGTTTCCTCTGAACTACCAGAGGATCTCAGACTTTCTCACTGAGCTGATGGAGTTACATTAGTCGAGGTGGGATGAAATAAAAGCACAGATGAGTTTCTCCAGATCTGGGGATAAAATGAAAAACTTAACCTTGGCTGTTTATGATAATAACTGCTGCACAACTTTCCTCACCTGGGGTTCAAAACTCAAGAGATTACTCCAAGATTTGACTGAGGACTTAACCGTAGGGTACGGTGGCAGAGGATGAGACAGAGCCAGCCATCGACAGAGAAGCATCTGTTAGATAGAGAGGACGTGATTCCTACCCACTTCTCCAATTCGTCGATGGGTATGTTGTGGTCTTCTGTGGAAAATGATGTCTAAACTAAGATCGGACAATCACCTTCATCTTCGGTCAATAGAAGGTCATTACAAACTTTAAGGATAGTTGTCTCAGTACTGTGGAATGATCAGAAGCCAGACTGGAATATTTCAAATAGATTATTATTTGTTAAATGTATTTAACTGTAACTGTTTGAACACAACATTTTCTTGGATAAAGAGACAGGTCTGTAGTTCTCCAGAGTGGTAGGATCCAAGTTTGGGTTTTTTAAGGAGAGGTTTGATATGAACAGTTTTTAAAATATGCAGGGACAGAGTTTGTTTACACTTGATAAAATGGAAGGACCAATAGTCAGCACAGTCTCCTTCAGTAATCCTGCAGGGACCACATCCAAAGGGCAAGATGAAGGTGAAGTGTGTGACAGGTGAATTGTGAGGGCGGGTGCTGTCAGTCTGGGATCTGATTTGTTTTTTGTTTGTTTTTTATTTTAAGTAAAAAAAAATATATATATCTTAAATGGTTCGCAGAGGTCAGGTGAAGAAATCAAATTATTGTTAGAGGGGCACCAACAGTCCTGTGAAGCACTTTATTAGGAACACCTGTACATCTGCTTATTTGTGTAATTATCCAGTCAGCCAATCGTGGCAGCAGCAGATCAATGTGAGGAGCTTCTTTACGAGGAAAAATGTGCCACAGTGACTTTGACTGTGACATGATTGTTGGTGTCAGATGCTGGTCTGAGTGTTTCTGACACTGCTCCTGGATTTTCACTCACAACAGCCTCTAGAGTTTTTATTCAAAATGGAGCAACAACAAAACCATCCAGTGAGCAGCAGCTCTGTGTTGATAAGAGACAACAGCTGTTGGGAGCAGAGAAGCTTCAGAGTGAACAACACGTCCAACCTTGAGGTGGACGAGCTACAACAGCAGAAGACCACGTCCAACCTGTCTTGTGTCAACAGTTCCAGCTGCTGGTGGACGTGAATCCTGTAGAACACCTTTGGGATGTGGTAGAACAGATTGGCAGCATGAATGAAATGATGTGATGCATCATGTCAACATGGAGCAGAGTCTCAGAGGAAACTTTCAAAATCTGCTGGATCCATGACATGAAGAACTGAGGAACTACCCAGTGTTAGTACGGTGTTCCTAATAAAGTGATCAATGAGTGTATCTCATCCAGGTGGGGGGAGATTAAAGTAACATTTTCAATAGTGAACTGATAGAAATGAACCAGGTTTTGTTTATGGTGATGTTTTAATTATTGTTTCCTGGCTCTGAGTCTGTTTTAATGTAAATCCTGTTTCTCTGCAGGTCTGAGTGAGGAGGAGCAGAAGGAGGTGGAGAGGAGGAAAAGGCGGGAGTTGTATAAAGAGAAGAGGTTTTTCTGCGAGCTCTGTAACAAAGGTTTCCATCAGAAACACCAGCTGAGGAAACATGTGTCCTGCCACCTCAAACCTTTCCCCTGCAGCTCCTGTGATAAGGGTTTCTACAAGGCCAAGACTCTGCAGAAACACCAGCTGAGCCACCAGCTGAGAGAGGCTCAGGAGAACGACCCCGACAAGCTGCTGCGCTGCAACCAATGTGACAGGAAGTTCAGACTGCTGCGGCAGCTCCGAGTCCACCAGGCATCTCATCGCCATGAAAAGACGCCGCTTAAGTGCAACACCTGCGACCGCACCTTCACCACCTCCAGCGCCCTCCGCTATCATGAGGTGTCGCATGCCAAAGTCAAGCCCTTCATGTGCGACGTCTGTGGGAAGAGTTTCACCAGGAAGAAGAGCCTCCGAGAGCACCAGACGGTCCACACTGGCGCCCGGCCGTACCCCTGCCAGACCTGCGGGAAGAGCTTCTCCACTGCCAGCAACCTGCGCGTCCACAAGAGGTCACACTCAGAGGAGCGGCCCTTCAAATGCAGCGAATGCGACAAGGCCTTCAAGTGTAGGATGGGTCTGCTTCAGCACCGAGTGGTTCATTCCGGAGAGAAACCCTTCATGTGTCAGACCTGTGGGCTGAGCTTCGGACTAAAGTACAACTTCCAGAGACACCTGCGCCTCCACAACGGAGAGAAACCCTTCAGGTACTCACAACAACACAACACAACCAACATGACACAACACAACTTAACACAATGGATGTGGGCTGCAAAGGTATTGCAAGTGGGCCGCCAAGTCACTTACAAAACAGTACAGTTCTGGTGAAAGAGTATGATTTTAAAAAAAAATGTAAAATATGAAACCTGTTTTTAAATGTTTTAAAACTGAATAATCTTTAAAAACATTTTTAAAAACTCCTTTCATTGTTTTTGTTTTGTTTTTGGTATTTGTGTTTTGTTTGTCCCGTTGATGAGCCAATGATTAGAACTTTAATGTTGTGGCTGACCTGACCCCTTTGCTGACGGACCCCACCTGTACTTGTTTGCTATCTCAGTCTGATTGCGCACTATAAGGTCACATCCATGAAAAAAATGGAGAATAGAAATGGATAGCTGGTTTGCAACAGGAAGAATTAAATGGAAAGAGAGTTAAGAGACAGATGGTGAATCAACAAATGACCTCTCCCTGTCAAACGAAAAAGAAGAAGTTGACTTTTTGAGTTATGTGATGAGATGCAGGTTTTTTTTCTGGACACAAAGTTTGAACTGGCACATTGCTTCAGAGATTTTGTATATTGGGTTACCTGGCCGATATTAACCTCGGCCTCCAGGGAACAGCAGTGAACATATTTAATGTCCAGAATAAAGTCAAAGCAACCATTAGAAAACTGGAGCTGTGGGTTAAGAGAGACAGATTTTGAGTCAAAGGAAAAGATTCAGTTTCCCATCACCGTGACCAAATCTATTAAAGAGCACCTGCAAGGTTTAAAGACCCAGCTGTGCGAATACTTTTCCCATCCCAGATGCACAGTACAGTTGGATAGAAGACCCATTCACCAGACACAGTGATAAGGCCATGGCAGCCGTGAGCGCAAAAGAGCAAGACAGTCTTGTGGATCTCTCTTCCGAGCAGCGGGGAAGCCAGAGCGGCTTGGTAGACTGTGGCTCGGCACTCCACTGAGAAGTGGTAGAAGTTCAGTCAGTCAGTCAGTCAGTCAGTCAGTCAGTCAGTCAGTCAGTCAGTCAGTCAGTCACGAACGCACTCACACTGTTGCGGTCCAGCCAAAAAGTTTTTTACTAATTCCATCTGTAAATGTATTTCTCTTTGATGTATGTTTGCTGTTAATGTGGAGTGTAGAGAGCTGACAGGAAAGAGAAGATTACAGTTTCACACTCTGAAACACACTCACTCTCACTCACTTTCCACCTTTAACATCCTGTGTTTCTGTCTTTGTGTCTCAGATGTGATAAATGTGGGGAGGGGTTCACAGGGACCTGGGCTCTGAAGACCCACATGCTGGTTCATGGTGTGGAAAAGCCATTCATGTGTGATCTGTGTGGGAAGACTTTTTTCTACAACTGTCAGCTGCAGAAACACCAGCAGCTTGTTCACGACAGTAAAGAAGGAGGGAAGGATGCAGGGCAGGGGAGACGGAGGCCGACCGGGGTCAAATTGTTCAGCTGCAAAATCTGTCTGAAGAGCTTCAGCAGCAGCACCACGCTGAGGACGCACGAGAAGAGCCACGCAGAGAACAAAGAGTTCACCTGCGACACCTGCGGAAAGTCCTTCCACCTGCGACACCTGTACCTGTACCACATGAGGCAGCACAGTGGCGACCGACCGTACGTCTGCAGCGTCTGTCAGAAAGGTTTCCTGCTCTCGTCGCAGCTGAAGCAGCACCAGCTGCTGCACACTGGAGTCAAACCTCACAGGTGTGAGCAGTGTGGGAAAGAGTTCAGGACGCCGCAGAACTACCACCGCCACCTGCTGGTCCACACCGGAGAGAAACCCTACCAGTGTGTGGTGTGCAGTAGGAAGTTCAGGCAGTCCAACCAGCTCAAGTCTCACATGCAGATCCACACCGGCGTGAAGCTGTACTCGTGCAACCTCTGCAGACAGGGCTTCTCTGACTCCCGGCAGCTCAAGAAACACCGCTGTGGAGACGACAGTCTGAGCACGCTCGAGTCCTGCAGCAAGCGCGGAAAACACAGGGATGAGTTCCCCTGGACACAGGAGTTCACAAACCAGTAACTCATGACATCTTTATTAGAACTCAATAAGGATCAAAAAGGTCATTAAAGATCAAACAATCAGTAAGAATCAGTAAGGTTCTACTCATCTTCTCTTTGTTTCTAAGAGAAACGTGCAGGTCGACGTCAGTCTCATGTCTGTGTTCAGTGCAGTCAGTGGTTAGCTTAGCTTAGCATCAAGACTGGAAACAGATCTGACTCACAGACTCACTGCTGAAACTATTTCTTGGTCAACAACAGTGTATCCATCCTCCTAGTATTCAATGCACAGATGTGAAGTGTCTGATATCCAACTGAAACAATCCAAACATGTTCCTTTTTAAGGGATTTATTATTTTGAATATGTAAAAAAAAAAAAAAACTGACAACTAATTTTAGAAATCAGAAGTACAAAGCCTTGGCTGGACAATAGTTTATAGTTTGAGCATCTTGTTTTTAGGGATGACTGGTCTGTGGTTTCACCCTGATTCTGAAGAGTTTACTGTAAACTGAGCTGAACACTCACACTACAGCTGACATCAAGAACTGTTGCTGCGTTTTGCTGAAAATCTGTAAGAATTGAAAATGACAAAATTAACGCTTTGCACCCTGTTTCATTCATGCAGCAATAAACAAATTTTTTTCAGAATAGAGTTTGGTTCATAGACATCCTTCTCAAGTGTACTGCAACCGAGCTGCTGCCTGGACTGATCCACTTCTCCTGGGTGATTTTCCAGACATTTGATTGGTACATTTATGTTTTGATAGATACAGTCATTGGTGGAGAGTGAACCTGATGATGGAGTAAAAGATGATCATATGCATTTTTTCAAACACTGAAGATCAGAGTGAAGTGACTGTTCATAGAATCTGTTATTGCATTCATATTTTCTCATGTCACATTTCCATGTTTGTTTCAGCTGAATTTTGTTTTCACAGCTTTTTTAAAAATCATATTAAAGGTTGAATGACACAAGTACGTCCTACACTGATACAGTCCATCTGAAAAATAAAGCTGAGTGTGTTGTGTTGCATTGAGCGATCAGTCACTGTTGCTCTTTACTAATGTGTTTATTTTTTACAGAAAATGGAAAGGATCAGAATGGAAAATAAAAACATTTGGTTTTTATAGCAGAAAATCACACATCTCCAGTGTTGTAGTTTTACTGTTTCTCATTTATAATCATGAAGACATAATAACTACATTAACGGGAAAAATATACAATGAAATGAAATGTAATATAACTGACTTGTTATATTGTGTGAAGATTTTAGAAAGAGACAAATCATGAATTCAAACATGAGGTGTCTATAAAACTACACATTTATCATCGTGTTTGTCAGATTTTAAATATTTAGTTTTGGATGAGAGGACAAAAAACGACACTACCACAGTTTGATTAAAGCAAATAAAGTTTCATTTTAATAAGCTGGAGAAAGTCTGCAACTATAAACTCAAGGATTAAATTAATGTAAATATAAAAGGCCATTCTGATGATTCAGTGGTGATTTTCAATTCATCACATATTCAATGTTGATCATGTCCTGTCACTTTGCTGGTTCTCTGGACTTGAGCTGTAATGTACGAGTCTTTAAGGCAATAGTATGTCCCTGCAATACCAGTTCTGCAGTAACACCCTACTCCAGCTGGCAGCGCCAGGATTGTGTGGCGCAAGCGCTCTGTACGAACTGTTCATTCACGCGGGTATTCGGTGCTAACAGGCTAACCTCCGGTAAACCCGTTTAGCCTTCGGTGAGTCTCTGTAAGGCACAAGACTCTATAAACATGAAGCCCCGTGGTGTCACAGTGAGCTGCCCAGCGGAGCTGTGACCTGTCCAAAGGGCTGTTGTTACGGTTTGCAGTTTGATGGTTAGCCTGAAGCTAACTTTAGTATCAGCTGAAGTTACAGACGTCCAGGGGAACGGAGCTCGGGTGAGTTTTACAGAGACAGTATAAGGACCAGTGGACAGGCGTTTACATCTGGCCCATTAACTTGCCGTGAAGTATAAACGGACTTTAGCTCCGTCAGAAGCAGTGGCCTAAAGAAGCTAAACCTTTAGCCCCATTGGCTGTAAGCTGATCCGAGATTGAGGTTGCTAAACACGCGAAACTATTTATCAATTGTCAGTTCAAACTCTGCAGTTTGTCTCTTTTAACTTAAAAAACGTCAGACTGAGCAAGAATTTTTGAATTAACGACGTATTTACCACAAACACCGTGTGTGTTATTTCCGGGTATTATCCACAAACTCCTGCGGCCTGTACTAACAACAGCACCGCGGCGTTGCAACCTCTAGATATTTTTCTTACCTGTAATTATAACTATTACAATTACTAACCCTGATGTTAAGTCGTGTTTACTCCTGTGCCACAGTGATGGTAAATGTAAGTGTCGGTAGCAAACTATCCAATTGGTTTAATACACATTACTGTCTTACCCACACACTTTCTGAGTTAGATTAGATTGTGTGAAGTATCTACAGATGAACGCTGACATTATCTTGTTTCTAACCTTTGCCTCAAGTTACAGTTTAGCTAACCAATGTTAGCTAGCTGATAGCGCCCATTCATTTCCAATGTTATTACCAATATCTAATGTTGGCAAACACAGGTGCTCAGTAATGAGCAGTGAGACAGTGAGGGATTAGTTGTTGTAAAGGTAAGTTTTGACATCAATATAGAGTTTATTATTTCATGTTAATAGTCTTGTGTGGCTGTGGTGGCTTAGTCAGTCTTTTACCTTTTTGGTATTAGGTCTTTAATAAACACCCTCTTGGTTTTCACCTAGGAGTTTTATCTGGTTTTGTAATTGAACAATATTAAAATACATGTGTGATGAAGGCTTAGTAATTGTATTAGCAGTGGTGGAAAGTCATTAAGTACATTTCAACTTTTTAGCTTCTTACATCTTATGAAAAGCAGTGTTTAATCGGGGTCCTATTCCAGATGTTTGAATTGTTAACACTTCATCAAATACTGATTTTTTTTTTTTTCCCCTCCAAACTTCTCATATGTTGTAATTTCCATTAATGTTGAAATGATCAAACATCTCACCAAAAGTCAAAGATTAGAGAACAAGTCTAAATTGAAAACAGATTTGTGAACCAAAACTTTTTTCTTCTTTCCTCTCTGATTAGGCATCTTTAACCCCTCAGATTTATCTGGTGACCCTGTTTGTAAAACTGTATATTAAGTAGTTTAAGCAGTAACATGCTGCTGACACACTGATGCTTCATTATCAATCATCTAATGATGTAATGTATAATAATACATCAGTCAGAAGGACTTTTACTTTAATACTTTAATTACATTTTGCTGCTAATACTCATGTACTTTTACTTAAATATGATTTAGGATTTTTCATGCAGGACTTTTGCTTGTAAAGGAGTATTTTTACATTGCTGTATTGGTATTTTTACTTAAATAAAGGATCTGAATACTTCTTCCGCTACTGTGTATTATATTAGTTCAAAGGCATAATTACTTTATTGAACTCAGATTAGATTTCATTCACAGAGTCAACATAAGCAGGAGAGGTCATATTATGATGATCTTATATATACTTTTTGGTGCCAAAAGAAGAGTAAGTTGAGATGATAATTCAGTGTGTATTTTCTGTGGTTGTCATGCAGGCTTAATACTGAGCAGGATAATATGGGTGATGGTGACTTTTAAATGTATGTGTTATTGCATTAAGGAAGCCGAGGGAGGTCATAAAGACAGTAAGCAAGCAGGTGGAGGTCATACTACTTTAAGGACTGAAACATTACCCTAGCTACTCCTTAAAGGCATAGACCACACAAAAATCGAACTTTGTCAACTGTTTTTTTTTTTTTTTTTTTTAACTTTGAAAATAGTCTATTTTCATTCATACTCTATAGGGCCTTTTCCATAGAATTCATATGTTTTCACTTCTGAATTAATGGAAAAGATGGGATTCACTCTAGCTTAGGCTTTTGAGCGAATAGACTGCATCCTATCTTTTCCATTCATTTTGATATATGGGCCAGTACAATATACAGTACACGATATGGAATGTTGAATGAGATGATGTGAAATGTTTATTGTGGTCTATTCCTTTAATGTTAGTCAGGCACAGGCCTAGATATTGAATGGTGGTAACATATCTGCCCACTTCTTTGTTAGGTTGATAGTGTTTTTGGTTCTGCTACAGCATTGTGTGGGCCTGTATTTGAGTGGGAATGACGGTCTGCTGTTGTTTGCGTCTGTGGGTTTGATGTGCTGGCAGTTTTGCTCTTGAATACTTTGTTGGTGAGCCCTGACTTCAAAAGTTGTTGTGTGGTACATGCTTCATTATGGTGTTATGGATTTGAATCATCATGATCATCTATAGACTGTAGACATTAAGTTAAACAAGCATGTTAATGTAAGATTGAATGATTGTAAGACTTAAGTGAAGTGAACCACTATCAAAGAACTGAAAACCCACAGCTAAACCTGAAGTTACTTTGCTAACCTCAAATCCTGCTTTGTAGTTTAGGCCTCAGGTGTGTGTAGTTCTCAAACCATCACATTATCAGCAGCTATCACAAGTTAAAACATAGACCTGATGTTTATATAACACACAAATATGGACTCAGGTTGGCATGTAACAGGCTCGAGAGCTGTTCACTAGACTATACACCTGGACAGCTGTCAGCTGACTGGTCTCACTGGTCCCTACAGCTTCCACCTATGTCCTTAGTGTGTTGTATTAAAATTCAATTTGTTGATCCAGAGGTGTGTGTGTTGATGGACGGCACGTGTGACACTCCATTGTGGTGACCAGTCATTGTGGCCTCAGTAAAATGTAAAGACCCTTTGACAGTCGACAAAAAACACAAATATATGTCTTTTTTCCAGTGTGAAAGGGTACAATCAGCGTTCAGTCCCGGGTCACGTGACTGCAGTAGTCACAGGTATTCATTGGCTCTAGCTCGGTCAGCAGTGATGGAAACTTGACACTGCAAGATTAAACATTAACATAACTTTAAGTGTGTGTGTGTATATGTATATATAATGTCTTTCTTCTGTGCTGTAACTTAGACACAGGCCTCTATGCTGCTTTCTACTGTTTACTCAGTGTTTTATGGCACGTTTGTGATCTTGAACGTGAGACAGCAGAAAAACAGAAACTCATCTACTGCCAGTGGGGAAAGGAGTCAATCACCTTTTTAGTAGGTTTACCTGTGTTTCAAAAATCCACATACATGCTAAATTTGGTGTTAAAAGAGTAGACCAGGACTGAGCTTTTATCTCAATGTGGTCTATATGTGAAGTCTGTGACCCAGGTTTCTCCTCCAGGCTGATCTGAGTCCTCGTTCCTCCCTGCAGAGCTGTGACTGACTACAGAGGAGAATGACAATGGCCCTGGTGTCAGACATGGAGGCGACCTCTGTGTCAGACAAGGAGGGGAGGGTGAGGAGAGGAGGTCCACTGTCTCTGGATGACTGCCGCTGTCCTGTCTGTCTGGAGATCCTCATGGAGCCAGTTACACTTCCCTGTACACACACCTTCTGCAAGGTAACACATACTGAATCCTGGTCAGAAGGAGGCGAAGGACGTTCAACCAGTTATTAAGTCCAAGGGTTCACTTACTTTTTTCCAGCACCACTGTGAATGTGTAATGGGTATGATAATAAAGACATGAAAGGTTATCATTGTTTATGTGGTATTAGCTTAAGCACATTGGGATTACAATACCATTGACTTAGATGAGGAACAGACCACATTTTATAACCAATTCATGAAGAAACACCCCCCACCCCCCAGTTAGAAAAACACCCGGATTCATTAACAAATTTCTTATGTAATCTTTATTTTCTCAGAGGTTGGTCTGGTGATGTCAGCAGCTTCCTTGGTTAAAGTGATGACATTATCAGTGGTAGTTTTTAACAGCTGTAGCTCATTCAAGGGTCCAGTGAAACCTGAGTGTGTTGGTTAATGTGCTCTCTCTGAACTATATGAAAAAATCATACTGCGATTAGTTTGGCAGTTATTGTGATGAGTCATGACTTCAATGTAAAATATAAAGATGA